TGCCTAATAGAAATACAATGAAAACAATACGTGGTTTCAAATTTTCAAATAGCCATCTTAAATGAAATTTGTAAAAGAAATAAGAGAATTTTAATAACATTTTATTTAAATCAGTTTGCCAAAATATTCTCATTTCAATAGTCAATATAAAAGTCATTGAGACATTTTACATTCTATTTTGATATTAAGTGTTCAAAATCTAGTATACACTTTACAATTACAACCTATCAAAATTCAATGCCAAATTTTCATCTAAAATAACTGACTTATACTTAGATTTCATAATATTTACAATTTAAAAATTGACATGCAAACTTAAATTGTCCCAAACACTTTAAAATTTTTCCACTAAGTGAACTGAATATTTTTGTTACGTTTACCTTTAAATTAACTAAAAGTAAATAAAATTTAAAGCATAGTTGGTAAGACAAGCAACTTTCATGGAAATTAATCATTTAGCCTGAAGTATAAGAATAATAATGATGTGAGTATGAGTATGGGTAGGGTGCGGCTGTGTGGACATGGATATGAGAGAGAAACAGACACAGAGACAGAGACAGAGAAAACAAGAGATGGGAATTACTATAACATTCTGTATTAGTCTGTTTTCCTGTTGCTATAACAAAATGCCTGAGTCTAGATATTTTATAAAAATTTTGAAAATTCAAGAGTATGGTACCAGTATCTGCTGAGGGTAATGCTGGTGAACTGATTGGTAGATAGTATCATAGAGGTAACAAGTACAAGGAAAAATTACATTAAAAGACAGTAGACCAAAAATCAAGGAGGTCCTAGTGTTGACCTTTTGTCAACAACTCACACGATTGGAACAAAATCACTGTATTGACCAACATTAATGCCTTCTGAATGCAGCACCCCCATGTTACAACTGCTTCACCTCTCAAAGATCCTACCACCTCGGTACTACCACACTGGGGACCAATCTTTCAGCACACTCACCCTTGGAGAACAAGTCACAGTCAACACTCAACACCACAGCTCTATAGCACTGCCCCAGCATTGCCGTATGTAACAAAATGGAGTTGAAAAGATGCAATGTCAATTTATAAGTTATTGGCTTCTTAACAACATGAGAGCAGTGGCCATCACTCTAAAAGATCAGACCAAGCACTTCTAATATCAGACTATGCAGTCCTCCTGATGTGGCAGGAAATTAAAAAGAAATTTACTTTTACGTTCAGCAGTTCTGAAGTAATTCTAAACCTTACTGAAGCAAGGCTACATCTTCATCTGGATGACCTTTAAATCTTAACTGTATAAAAGAAAAATATGTACTAAAACCAATGAATACCATGACAGGAGGCATCCTAATTGATGTTCTTCTGCTCTTAATCTGTCAAAACTTTCCACATGCTCCTCAGTGTCTTAGGACACCAGGCAAGCTATGCTCCCATGGTTATCCCAGACTCTTTTTAAGCCTGTTTTCTGTTGCTGTATCAAAACACCTGAGCCTAGCTACTTTATAAAAAGAAGTTTCTTTACCTCATACTTTTGAAAATTCAAAAGCCTGGTGCCGGTACAGTGTCTGCTGAGGGTGATGCTGCTGAGGGTGATCAGGAGAGGGGAGCCGGCTGATGGGGACCCTTTATTGCCTCTCCCTAGCTACTGGGTGGGGAGCACCCTATAAACTCTCCTAGAATGGAGTGTATCTCCACAGCTGGGTACCTACACATTGGTGTGATTTCCTCCTTGCTTGTTAATCTCACTGGACTATAAAGATCTTAGAATAAAAACTATACCTAACTTAATTTTGAATCTTCAGCCCCTAGAGTAATACCTAGACCATAACAAGAGACTCAAAGAACTAATAAAGAAATACATGAATGCTTACATTAACAAAAAAATCAAATATAAGTATTCACACCTGTTTTTTGAATCTAAGAAAAAGGCAGAAATGTGACGTAAGTGAAAGAAGCCTTTTCCCCCACATATTTTAGAAAGCTCTACAAGTACATATGCCCAAAAAGAAACTAAGAAGATTGAAATCTAGTGTTTATCCACACTGTAAACAATATGTCTTTACCAATAATGAAAAAAATCAGTATTCTGATTTTCTAACACATATTTTATAATTCAATTTATCCTCTTGAACTGAAGATACTACTGACAATTCAATCATAACTGTCTAAAACTAATCATTGATATGTGTCTTTAAACATTTTGATAGAACACTGTATTTATTAGCAAATATGTTCCCTGGTTTAAAAACCTAGACTTTTTTAAGAGAGGAAAAAAAATTCCAAAACATGATCACACATATGCACTATAGTAAGAATTACAATGAAATATTAAGTTTCTAACCGTTTCCTAAGAGTCTGCAGGAATAATGTGAATTTCTTTCAATAAGACTGTAATTTAATTTTTCCATGGAAATATCTTTAATAGGATTACTGACCCTTTTAACACTCTTGGGAAGAAAATGAATCCCATAAGCATTCTGGCATATAACTATTATAGAAATAAATAGAACAGTCAGTCAGTAAAAATGGTAATGGCCTGGAGAAACTGAACTTACTAAGGAAACGTTTCTAAGTATGTATAGTGATAAACACTTCAACAGAGAAAAGATTCGCAGCAAAATCAGGAAAACAACTAGACACATTGAGACAAATGAAAGGCCTAGAAAGCCAGGGGTGGGGAATGTGATGGGAATTTGAAGGAGGAACCTTAATGTTTTCTCTCAAGCAGACCTGACTATATTAACTTAGACCACATCTTTAGGCTATGGGTCTGCCCCAAGTCCTGTTTGGTTTTTCAGATGGTACTGAAATGCTTCACAGGAAAAGAGGGCACTCCTGATTTAAGGCATATTTTGGCACTCACAACTCTTTATGCTTTAAGAGAAATTTTTTCAGGTCATTAGTTTAATATGTGAACTGGTGCCTAGGGATGTTTTTGAAAGGAAAAAACAATTTATGTGCTTTTGGAGATACACTTTATGTGACTCGTGTCATCATTATTTCAGCTCAATTCTGGGCCCTAAGCTGAACTCAAAATGAAATCACCACGTCTGCAACAGTTATCACTCTGCATGCAATGATCACACCAGAATCTGAAACCAGAGTCCCCAAAGCAAACACAGCACGACCCCTTAAAATATCAAACTCCTGGCAAAAAGCTATAAACTATTACAAGGTACAAAAATAAAATCAGCCATACAAGTAATTTCCAAAATAATTTGGATTATCATAATACCACTGACACCAAATTCATTAATTCTGTCAGTGTCCTTGTTTGGGTCCAGAAAATAGGAACTTGATCATTAGCTTCAGAAAAAGCAAGCATCTTCCATAAATTGAAAGATGATTTATCTATTCTGAAGTCTAATTTGATCTACATATCATATCATGGACAGCTCCAAACTTAGTTTGATAATCCTCAATTTTCAATGCCAACAAGTGTAATTAAAACCTGCAGTCCACGTTTTTAAGTACAAACAAAGGATCAATATCCTTATTTAAAATTCTTGCAACTCAAACTGTTTTGAATTTCAGATGTTTTCGTATTGTGGAATACTTGCATAGACACAATGAGGTATCTTGGTAATGGTCCCAAATCTAAACATTTATAAAATTCATTTGTGTTTCATATATACCTTAGCCAGAAAGTAATTTTATACAGTATGTTTTTAGTGCACTAGTGTTTTGACTATGACTTGTCATATTGTCATACGAAATTGGGTGGAATTCTCTACCCACAGCATCATGTTGATGTTCAAAACAACTTAGATTTTAAACCAGTTCAGACTTCAGATTTTCAGAGTAAGATAGTCAACCTGTACTATGCATGTTCATTTTAACTACTTTGCTATTTGTTTAGAATATGTGAATCACCACTTACAAGCATGAGACCAGACTTCCTTAGTGTCATGACCTTGGAGATTACAAACCTCCCTGCACCCTTGGGTACACATTAGAATTGCCAGAAGAACCTTCAAAAACACCGATTGTTTAGCCCTAGACAAGCTTCAGAGTGGGCTGTGCTATCACTAAGGTCCCAAAGCTCTCCAGGTGAGTCTAATGCACAGCTGCAGAACCAGTGACCTCAAGGAGATCCTCGGGTGGATCAGTGGTGAAGCATGGCTGACTGCAAGGCAACCACAATCTGAGGCAGGACCTAGAACAAAGATGACAACTCTAGTGCCCTGGTGAGCCACGGAAGTGAACGAAACACACGATGTATGCTATCTCTTTCAGACTGAGTGACAGTGTGACAAGCACGGAAGCTCCAAATGACACTGCCAGAAGGGAAGTCATGTGTAACAGACTTCATTTCATCTGATTCAGTGACACAAATCAGGACTTCCATGTAAAATTAACTCAAATTTTAAGTGTTGATTTCATTAAAAATATAACATTATATAAAGCATATAAAGAAAGACAGCATGGGTTTGACCTTTAGGCTTCAGATCGTCGCCAGGGGTCTAAGGGGTTATTTCCTATCTACAAAAACCACCACACCATCACTTCATCACCACCATCATCATCATCCTCACAACAATAATACTTAGCCCCTCTAAGTGCTTGCTCTGTGTTCATCACTAAGCTACATTTTACATGGATTCCTTCAAAAAGCCTTTATCAACACTGGGGGGAAGCAGCATTATTTTCTCCCTTTAATCAACAGCTCTCTGTGCCCAGATCATAGAGCTAATAAATGGCTGGGGTTCACATGTGTGCCGAGTTGACATTTTAAATATTGTTTCAACAACCAGGACTCTCTCCATTTGCATTTCCTAAAAAATAAAATGAAGCGATTATATTAAATAATCTCTCAGGACATTTTTAGTTAACAAGTTCAACGGTCTTAACCTCACAACATAGCTACACGCGTCAGTCACGAACGCCCTAATAAGAACTACCTGATCAAAGAATTGTATGAATGCTAATGAAATAATCTTACTTAAAGGGCAGCACCAACATACATAAATGTATAATCTTTATCTCCACTGCTATAGGAAGTTTATTTTTCCACGTTACCTTTGGAAAGATGAGTGAAAGTGCTCAGAAATTCTTCATATGTTTGCTCATGAGAATTAATAAACTTATCCAAGACTTCTTCCATTAGTGGATCTTTATCCATTATCTCCAATCCCAGTATTTTGGAAGGCATTCCTATTCATGAGGCCACTTTATCTACAAGATAAAGAAGAAGACAAGCTAGAGAGAATCACGTAGCATCAGCCCCTCAAAAAATATTCTGGGTGGGCACTGGAGAACTCAGAAGATCCAGAGGGATAGGGTAAGACAATTACTAAAGCAGTGTACTCTTGTTCAACTACAGAGTGAGTTTCACTCAAATTTTTGCTGCTGAGTGGTTGGTACCAGTTTTGGTTTTTGCTTTTGTTTCCTCATTACCAACTTTCTTAATTCACAAGAACACTGTCATACAATTACACAATTAGAATTTCAATGTCCAAATAAGAGGAATTTTAAAGAACACATCAACTAACCATCACCGGTGACAACAATAATATCCAGTATTTATTAGTGACTTACTTATTCAAACCAGATGCTGTTCTGAGCCCATTAATGTTAATTATCATAACCCTCTTTAATGCTACAGAACCAGAAGACAGAAAAGTTAGTTCTAGGAATCTGACCCAAGAACTCATGCCCCTAAACCCTTCATTATGCTGTCCTGTGTGACCCACTCTCCTGCATTATGACTGATAAAAAGGTGACTTGCCCGTGTTTTAACACATCTGGGACCTGGAAAGCCTTTGGACAGCTCTATCAAAAATTTTTAAAACAGGCTAAATCTATCTCCCTTACCCTACCCCAATGGATCTAAAGCCTATGAGATTGTACTGAGTAATTTCATTTCTTCTTATACCTGATAGTCTTTCAAAGAGACAGTATGACCAAAAAATATGGTGAATGTTACTCAAACCATGTGTACAATACTTTAAATTATTACAGTAAAAGACATTAGCCCCCCTCAAAATACTTTCCCTGACTTCGAACACACTTTTCCCATAGTTTGTGCCACTTTCTGAAGCAATTCTGGAAGTCCTCTTTTGTGAGCGTCTTTATTTGTGCTGTTCTTCCTTGCCTTATGTCCTGAACTGATTCAAAATGTTTACCTTTCATAGTCGTTTTGACTTTGGAAAAACAGTCAAAAGTCACACGGTGTCATATCTGGATAATAAGGTGAATTACAGCACAACATAATTTTTATGAACCTGCCTTTCTGTAGGATGATACTCAGCAGTAGCATTCACTGTTTTTTATCACACTTCACAAAGACACCCACTGAAAATTTCATTTTCAAAACCCAGCCCAGCAATCAGGTTCCCTCTGAAGGCCTTACCCCTGCCCCGTCTCTCATCACCCCAGGAAGAGTCAGCTGTGATTTCTCTGTGCTGCCTCTGGATTAACTGTGTACTGTTATCCTTCAAGCTGTTTGCAAAGTGTTGTGCCCATGGCTTTGTCCTTTACATGTTCAGAGCACAGGAAGGACAAAGTCCACATCTTTTCATCTTTGTACCCTAAACTTTTACTCAACACTCAGGAAGCATGACTAGAAGTCCATCAACACTGGGCTAAAATTACTCAATTGAGAAGGTAAGAGAGTGAGAGTCACTCATTGCTAGAAGCTTACACAACACCTAGCTAAGCTTGTCCTATGATGTCACATGTGCCGCTGTGTTTCAGTCACTTTTCTCATTGCTGAGGCAAAATATCAAACACTCAAAGTTAAAGGAGGACAGAATTTATTTAGCTCACAGTTTGTAGAGGTTTTAGTCCATAAGGGGCTGGCTCCAAGGCAGAGTGAATGGCAGACAGGCATCACAGAGGAGAAACAGCTCATGGCCAGCAGAAGGGACAGCTCTTTCTGTCCCTTATATCTCGTCCAGGCTACTTATGGCAGATAGGCCTCACAACCTTAATCCGAGTGCCCTTGATCCTAGGATTACATTATGAACCAGTCTCACACCCTACATCCTGCCATCTCTGACGAAGCCCCACCTACGAGACTTTGGAACGACACCCAAACACAAGGCATAATGCACGCCCACATGATTTTGAACCCCTCAACCTCCCAGCCAGTGTGCCTGGAAAAGACGTCACACTGCTTGGCTTGCATCCCTTTAAAATACGGCATCCAGAACTGGAGACGTGACTCTAGCCATGGTCTGGATGCAGTGAAATCTGACTGCTTGTCACATTCTAAACACTGTACCCTGTGATAGAGCTGAAGATCACATCCGCACTGCTGGTGGTCACTTCACACTGTCAGTACACTCAGCACACTGCTAACTAACTGCTTGTCAGCAAAGACATGAAACCTCAACCCTCACACAGCCTGAACTTTATATTCCATGGGTGATATTTCATCTTGCTAAGCTGCATTCATTCTGTGTGAAATGCTATTCTTACGTACCTTTGAGAAAATTGGCTATCTACAGAAAACAGAAGAATAATTACAGTGCCCAAGTGGCCAGTGTAATACATGAATGACAATGAAAAGAAAAGCTTCTGTGTACTGGATGGCAGGAACAGGGGGCAGCTTTTTATTTTTCTGAAGCAATATTAAAAATGTGTGCCTGTCATTAGCTTTTTCCTCCCACTTTTCCTTTGCACATGTATCCATCATTTAAAAATACAAATAACACAGATGCATATATGGTAAAGAAGATATTCCTTAATTATGATGACCATATATATCCTACCCATCAGAAGTAGAGTCTGCCAAGATTGTAGTGAATATATTTCTAAATCATTCTGTGTAATTTTTATATACAACAAAGAAATTTTTCCCCAAAATGATACATCATTGTATGTGTTATTCTTTATAAGTGAATTATTTCTGGTGTTAGAGACTGAGTAGCTTTTTAATTTCATGAGTTCTCATAAACATACCACCACTTTAACATGTATAGATCTAGCTATTCTTTCCAAAAGCTATATAGTCACAGCCCCGTTCTGTCCCTGACTGTGTAACAATGGACAAATTTTTAATTTTTATTTTTATTTCTCTGGATCTCAGTTCCCTCACCTCTATAAACAAGGATTATAATAGCACAGTCTTCTATTTCCTTAAGCTCAATTTAAAAAAAAAACAAAAAGCTGAGAAAAGAACAAAACTATTTTCTTAAGATGAGACTCAAACTCAATTGGTGGCCAGCCCCGATCTAAATTAACATAAGAGTATTTATGGTTTTTATTTATTCTGCTCAGTGTAACTATTCACGTCTCTCTGCAGAAAGATAAATGGCCTCACAGATGAGGTGCTTCCCAGCATCCAGCTGGAGAGCAGTACATTATATGGCATATGCACTAATTACCTTTCTAGATTCCTAAAACATTGTGTATTTTGGAGCACAGCTGAACTCGGGGATTTGAAGAAGTAATTGTGGAGCTACATATACCTCACAAGAATGATATAAGGGTTAAGTGTGTGCCTTAAGAAATATCAGCGATGATGATGATGATGATGATGATGATGATGAAGAATCATTCCTAGTATTCCGTCCTTTGCCCAAAGATCTCTGATGATTGCCATTCTCACTTTAAATGCATACTTATTCAAGATTAATCAGTGTAATCCCGCAGGCATTACAGCACAAGTTAAAACATGGTGTCATAATAGATTGAGTGAAAATGAAAAGTATATCAAGTACTGTCTTCAAGAGAGAGAAACTGTTTCAAGCGATTTGTACCTAAAAAATCAGATATATGAAAAATCATCAGTTACAGTGTATGCAAATTTATTTGTAACAATGCCAGCCTTCAGAAATGCAAAGCTTACTAAATTATGCTTGCAGTTTCTAGATTATAAATACCGATAAATAACCTCAAAGGTGGCTATTATTTTAATATCAGTGAGATGTAATTATTTGTAAAAATTTCAACATCAATCTACTCTTCCAGCATTAGAGCCAAGCAAAATTCCAACAGTATACTATATCATTCTCTTCTTCAAACAATCTCTGGCATCTAATTCAGGGAATAAACACCCAACAGAAGCAGTCAGGCTATGGTTTGCACTGCTATAACTGTCTTATTCTGAACTTTTAAGAGTGATAATAGAAATTCCTTTAAATTTTCTTCTCAGTCCTCAAAATGGCATTTTTTTTTAATATTTACTCTGTAAATATCTCAGTGGTACCAAAGGCAAACAATGAACAGGCTGTTTGCTATTGCATTTAAAGGTTTTTAATTTTATGTGTAGTGTTATAATATATAGTTTTATTAATTACTTTAAAGACTTCTAGAGTATCCCATCCCACACCTGTTATTACTTGAAGAATTTAACAAACACCTATGTTCAAATTTTGAACCTTCCTATCTATAATAACATAAATAACTTAATGTTAAAGGTCCCCAGAGGCTGACAAAGCAGAGAATCACTTACCAGACAGTCAAGTGGTTTATGCAAATCCTAGTGGTTTTGCAGAAGGAAGCAATGCTTTTTCAGTTACCACTCTCGCACTTCTGTGTTTTTGTCATGAAATATTTTTCTCAAAGGAAAGAGAGAAAGAGATACTTGCCTAGACAACAGGACACATTATTTAGGTTTGGTTTTCATGTTTTAAGGCTTTGAGCACCACATGAAAGACCCAGAGCATATTGTGATGACAAATAAATGTATTTAAATATCCACCAGGACATCACAAGCAACTTTGAATTACAGCTCCCCCCTACCCCGCCCCCAAAGGAAACACAGGCAGCATGCAGGCCTCTGTGTGGATAACTGAACTCCCCCAGGAGACCAAGGAGCCTAGTTAGGAACAGATTCTCTTATCAAGTCACTGAAAGATTAAGGAGAAAAGTCACAGAACCATGCAGAACTCCAGTTTTCTATAATGAAAGAATGAAAGCAACAATCATCTAAGCTAATTAGTGTTGTGCATTCCAAACACATGCCATTCTGAAATACAGTATGCAAAATTCTCATGACTGACTTAGCACATTTTTGATGTTGACCTTCAAGACTCTGCTTCACCAACATACACAAGCAAAATACAACTTGCAGAGACAACAATGTTAAGCAAATGAAAAAGACAAAAAAAAAAAAAAAAGAAAAGAAAAGAAAAGAAAAGAAAAGCAAGTCGCTAAATGAGTCTTCTCTCAAAGTGTGATCAAAATCTGCTGCTATGCTGGAAAAAAGATAAGATGTTACCAAAATT